CCATTACAGCTTTGTCCTTTCTCATTTGCCATCAAAACCTTTCTATCTATCTCTCACTCTCTCTCTCTCTCTCTCTCTCTCTCTCTCTCTCTCTCTCGCTTTTTGTTAAATTATTTTCAACGCTTTTATGTTATTTTTGTTTTTAATCTTTTTCTTTTCTTTTCTTTTCTTTTTTCAACATACCACGTGTTTTATATTTTATGATTCATCATACACACACACACACACAGCAGACCGACACGTAATTTAATATATATATATATATATGTTGAAAATTTTGATATTTAGAAGAAGAAGAAACTAAAAAAAAAAACTAAATTAAAAATTAACACGAAATATTTTATAATAATTAAAAACACCATCGTTTAAAACATACTTCTCTTCGTATAAAATATTAATTTTATTATTTATTTTCTCGTTGGCAAATAATAAACTTTACTATTATTATTACTACTACTAGTAGTACTACTATTTTTTATTATTTGTTTTTTTTTCCTATTCGTGGCTTGACTTTTCTGTAAAAAAACAAAAAAAGAAATTAATTGAAATGAGGAGACGTGTAAATTCTTTTTCGTGTTTCCTCAAAGAGACAAATAGATACTTCGTAAAATTAAATTTTTTTTTTTAATGTAAATGTAATTTTAATTAATACTCATTTATAAGAATGAACATTTAAATAAAGAAAAATAATGTTATAGTATGTTTTTCTTCTTCTTATTATTATTATTATTATTTAAATTAAATATTATCTTTAAATAAATTTTACGCGATAGAGATGTTACAACAAAAGGAAAACAATTATTTATAATTATAAGAAATATATAATAAGATAGTTAATCATTTTTTAACATATAAAACATTTTACTATATTTATTCACAAAATAGTCTTACCAATAAAAGAAAAATAATTATTTATAATTGTAAATAATGTAATTAGTAAATCATTTAATTAAATACTACACAATAAAACATTTTACTAAATTTATTTACAAAATAATTGTACCAATAAAAGAAAAATAATTATTTACAACTATAAGTAATATAATTATTCATTATTTTGTTAAATACTACACAATAAAACATTTTACTAAATTTATTCACAAAATCGTCCTACTAATAAGAAAATAATTATTTATAATTATAAATAATATAATTATTAAATCATTTAATTAAATAGTACACAATAAAACATTATACTAAATTTATTCACAAAATAATCGTACCAATGAGAAAAAGAAGAAAACAAAAAGAAAATAGAACTATATAGAGTAGAATCAAATTAATTTTATTTGAGTATCGACTATACGAAAACAAAAAAATAATAAATAAAAAAATAAAAAAAAAAAATAAAAACGAAAAGAAAAAGAGAGATATATATATAGTAAATACGAAATGACGTTATTATCGAGTTATACGTGTGAAAATACGTAAAAGTTAATATGCTCCTGCACCAGGTTTTTCCATTAGCAAGATAGGTGTGAAAGAGAAGAAAAAAAAAGTTTGCCAAGCTATATACAAGATGAAAAGAGATAGAAATAGTATGTGAGAGAAAAGATGAAAAAAAGAAAAAAAAAGAGAAAATAATTGACCGTCTTCCAACGGTGTTTGAAATCGTGTGTGAGAAGCAAAGAGGGTTTTCGAAACTGCATCATCCCACACACACACACACACATATGAGATTTGCATCATACACGTTACTAATTAATACGTGTGACGTAACTTAGAACCAAAAGGTAGTGTTTTTAAATATGTAATATATCTTTCTCTCTCTCTCTCTCTCTCTTTCTCTCTCTCTCTCTCTCTCTTTTCACAATTTTCGATTAAATTTATTTTCCGGTGTGAACACAACCTAATAAAATATCCTTTCGGAAAGACAAATTTATTGCATGTAAAAAGTGAATAAAAGAACGACGAATTTTTTTACGTGGTTGTGTTTGTATGTTTTATATTTGTTTAAAAATAATTATTTTATTAATTAGTCGAGATATTAATTTAAATATTTCATTGTATTTCTTTTTTATTATTATTTTTGAGGAGTACTTTTTTTCGGTGTATTTATTGAAATAATTTCGAACGATTTTGAAATATATATATATATATATATGTATGTATATATGTATATATAAAATTTATACGTAGTTGATATACAATATAGAAAGGTATATAGAAGCCCATGGAAAGACGAGTCATTCGATTCTCCTCGTTATCAATGGTTTTCGTGAAATCTCGTATGCGATTGATCATGAAACACAAATACAGAGAGAGAAAGAGAGAGAGAAAGAAAAAAAAAAGGAAAGGAATTTATTTCTTTTTTATTTTTTTTTTTTGTTTTTTTTTTTTTTACACTCATACCGAACAAAAACCCATTTCCGAGTATCGGTATCGATAATTTGAAGCTTTTTCCTCCGTTGGTAGAAAATTTGTTAAAAGTATCTATGAAAATTTTCGATTCGAATTACTCGTACTGTAATTCGTGGTATTTTTGAAATTCTATTGTATCCGTTTTCTTTCCATATAAATTAAAATGATTAAAAAAAAAAGAAAAAAAATGCAAATATTCGTATCAGTAGTATTGACTACTCATTTATTTCTCTCTTTTGATATTTTATAGTAAATCCAATAATCAACTTATAGAGGGGTCGGTAAGTTTAATAATTTCAATTTGTCATAGAAATTGTTGAATATTTCGTTTGAAAAATTGTCATTTTAAATATCCGATTTATAATTCGTGGTATTTTTCAAATATCATCATTGTATCTTCTTATATTCTTTTTTTTTTTTTAAATGAATGAGACCAATTATCATTAATAAATGAAAATATATTTGTAATTATTATAGTTAAAATAAAATTAATTTGACACTGTACAAAATTTATCTACATTTTTATTCTTTTATCAAAAAAGAATAATAAAAAATAAAAAGAATGTAAGTAAAATAGAAAAAAGATAAAGAACATATAGAAAACAAATAGATTGAACTTAAATAATATGCAACAATAACAACAACAAAAAAAGGAAAGAAACGGACAGCCTACATTTTGCAAAACAATTGTGTTTTTCCTTTCGTTTAAACTTTATTTATTTCTTTTTTCAAACGAGAGTAATATATATAATTTTGTATTAATAAAAAATAATATATTATATTTAAATTATAAATAATTAAATTAAATAAATATTAAATAAAAATTAAATAACTAAATTATAATGTATATAATACATTAAATAGAAATTTTATTAATGAAAATAAAAAAGGAGTGCAAGAGAAAGATAGAAAAAGAAAGATAAAGAACATATAGAAAACAAATAGATTCAACATAAATAATATGCAACAATAACAAAAAAAACTAAATCAACTACATTTTACAAAACAAATGTTCCAACCAAAACCATTCGTTTAAACTTCATATTACACGCATATATGTTTATAAGGAAATTAAAACTCGAAATTGAAGGGGTTATTATTCAATGGTTAAGTTAAAAGAATGAAATAAAGAAATAGAGAAAGAGATAAAGAAAGAAAGAAAAAAAAAATAATAATAATAATAATAATAATAATAATATGGAGAACGGAATCTCGCATTTTTCATTTCATTTAAAATGCATTCGTGAATGAATCTTCCAAGCTTTTGTGTAACCGTGTTCGAAAATTAAATAACGTCGCCGCCGGCTAAAACTTTGTTCCATATCATTCGCACTGTTAATGGAATAATACAGGCGGGGAAAAGGCGTCCTTTCCTCTACTCTCATTGGTGGTTTGGCGTATCGTATTGTGTAAGCGCGTTTAAACTCTCTTTTACCTATTCCAACTGTGATCCCACTTCCTCTATTTATTACATACTCGTATATATTTATATAATCATATATAATATAGTCACTTGGTGTATGTGTTCGAACTATTAATGTATAAAACTATACCTAAATATTCAATTTGTCATTAATTTTATTTGTTATGTGTTAACATTCAACCATGTAAATCTTGACATCCTCCAATTTCAATCTTTCATGGTAACATATATATAATACTAGGGTTGCCCCGCCACACGTTGCTGTGGCTTACAATAAGTCCGATACACACGTCTTTAAGTCATCGAATTACCTAATACCGCTATCTGTTAGAATCTTATCGAACTAACAGAGATAATCATGACTCTTTGTTAATAAACAAATAATTTGCAATAAAATAATATTGCGATTATAAATTGAGATATAAACTATCCTATCTTTCAAGTTGGATGAAACTGCATAGAGTGTGCAAAATTTTATTAAAATTGGTTCAGTAGTTTAGGAGTCCATTGCGGACAAACAACATGACACGTAATTTATATATATATATTTTATGTATTTATATCTCATTGATTTGTTTGCATTTTTAAATAGAATATTATATATATGTGTATATATATGGGATGGATCAATAAGAATTACTATCTAAAATAAACTCGTTACCTTTTAGTTGTATTAACAAGAGAAAAAAAAAACAGGAAAAAGCTTTTTAATTAAATCTATAACAATTTTAACCAACCCTTCACAGTAGCTCAATTATTTCCCTGATTCGAGATAAAAAAAAAAAACAGTTTCTATAGATATATATCATTTCTTTTTTTTATTTTTAAATATATATATATATATTCGTATGAGAGATATTAAAAATAGAACAAAAAAATACAAATGAATAAAACGTTTCTAACATTCGTGATAATTAATTTTGTTATAAAATTGATCAATACTTATATTTTCCTATTTTTAAATAAATTTTTATATTTGTGTGTTCGTACAATCCATCTGTATTATTTTATTTCAGAAAAACAAAATAATGCAAAAAAAAATATATATATATATGGTTTCAGTGTACATAAACTTTTCCGATAGATATAGATGGGTGGTTTAAATCCCCCACAATCGAATCTAAATAAATACGTGTAAACCACATTCGTAAATCTTTGTAAAGAAACTTCTCTTTGTCTCGACAAGCATTTAGTTATTTTTTTTTTTTTTATTTTGTTTCTGTTTTTTTTTTTTTAAATTCGTGTCTCGTTGTTCGTTTATTTGAGAATCGATCTAGATCAGGTGGATTTTACAATTGGCTTGTTACAAGCTCTTTTTAATCCTTTCATCGTTAAATTTTCTCTCTCTCTCTCTCTCTCTCTTTCTCTTTTATTATTATTTTTTCTTCTTCTTCTTTTAATTTTCGATAGATTTTATACTATTTTTTCTTTTTATATTTTACTATTTTTATGATCATCTTTATTATTTAATTTCAAATACTACAATTTATTTTTACGTGTATCAACTCTAAGTAGTCGAAATACGATATTAGTCAGACATCTCGTAAGGGAATAAATCAATTATAAAATTTTTTTTTTCTAACAAAAATTTAGTTTCTCTCACCTAATGCTTTATAATTCAACTATGTTCACGATCATCTTTATTTAATTTAAAATACCACAATTTACTTTTACGTGTATCAACTATAAGTAGTCGAAGTACGGTATCAGTCAGACATCTCGTAAGGGAAAAAATCAATGATGAATAAAATATTTTTTTTTCGAACTAAAGTTTAGTCTTCCTCACATAATGTGTTGTAATTTAACTATTTTCACACGATCATCTTTATTTAATTTAAAATACCACAATTTACTTTTACGTGTATCAACTGTAAGTAGTCGAAGTACGGTATCAGTCAGACATCTCGTAAAAAAAAAAAATCAAGTCTCAATAAAATATTTTTTTATCAAACTAAAGTTTAGTCTTCCTCACATAATTTCACTATTTTTATAATAATCTTTATTTAATTTAAAATACTACAATTTACTTTTACATGTATCAACTATTAGTAGTCGAATTGCGATATTAGTCAGACATCTCATATCTAAGGGAAAAATATCAATTATAAAATATATTTTTTTTGAAACTAAAGTTTAGTCTTCCTCACATAATTTCACTATTTTTATAATAATCTTTATTTAATTTAAAATAATACAATTTACTTTTACGTGTATCAACTATAAGTAGTAGAAATATGGTATTCATCAGACATCTCGTAAGGGAAAAAGGTCAATTATAAGATATTTTTACGAAATAAAATTTAGTCTTTCTCACATAATGCGTTGTAATACCTTTATTTCGATCGTCTCTATTTAATATGTAACACGAGAAATGCTTTATACAGAATGTGATATTCTATTCAACAAAATAGGATAGTAAATACGAGAGAGAGAGAGAGAGGGAGAGAGAGCTGACGTTACATTTAACAACACACGTATTTATAACACGTATATATGCACCACGAGTAAACCAATCCTCTTTTTCATCGTTTTTGCTCCTTCCAAGAGAAACGTCGGATGTTGTACTACTATATTTAATATACTTGTACATGTATATGTGTGTATATGTATTTGTATATGTGTAACGAAACGTATAATGAAGATACTAATGAGAACTAAAAGAAAATAACTAACGAAAACATACGTTTATAAGTGTAATAAATTTTTTCTAATCATTCTAATCAAGAAGTATACATTTCTATCGATTTTTCTGCTTCTTATTTTGTTTATTCATTTACTACATTAATTTTGTTCTATTTGCTTTCTGCTTTAGGTTCCTTCCAAGCTCTGATACAGTATGCAGACATGGTTGCAGCGCAGACTGCTAAATTCGTAAGTATCCAATCGATTTTTCTATTATTCTTCTTTCTCTTAATGTTATTTTTTGTTCTTTTGCTATTAATAATTATTGATTATTTTAATATTTCATTTGAGAATGAAATTTCATTGATATTTATTCTACGTCCACGTAATATCCACCAATAAAATATTGTTTTATCAATAATACAATAAAATATTAATACTTTTTAATGAACGTAATATTTCAATAAAAAAAAAACATTGACGTACAATTTAAAATAATATTGCTAATCATTCATCTTTTTTCTTATTAAAGAATCCCAAAAATGAGAATAAAAAAAAAAAACTCCCAATATTTAAACAATTTAATACATTAGTTAATCTTCCAAATATTCAAACGATTACCAATTAAATTTAATCTATCAAATAACCCTCATCATTATCATCATAATCATTATTAATAATAACTTCATTACGAAAATTCAAGATTACGTAATTAAATTTAATCGTAAAAATTTATCTAATTAATTAACCGTCATCATTATTATCGATGATAATATAATAACATAAAATAAAAATCAATGAAATCTCTTGTAAATTCTCTTCCTACCTCCAACCACCACTACCTACCCTTTTCCTACCCTTTCATAGGGACTTAACAAAGAAACCTTTGGGAAGCGATCAAAGCGAAAATTAATTCACTCGATGTGCGTTTTGCCACGACCATTGTACTTCATCCTCTCATTCCCTTTACCCCTCCTCAACTCCCTCCTGGTTTTCATAGTCGTCTGTTCTCTCTCTCTCTCTCTCTCTCTCTCTCTCTCTCTCTCTCTTTCTCTCTCTTTCTCTCTCTCTCCCTCTCTCTCTCTCTCTCTCTCTATCTATCTATCTATCTATCTCTTTCTATACTAGCAGGGAAACTAAATTCCTATCATATTGGTGTATTTATGTATATATATATATATATATATGTGTGTGTGTGTATGTCGTCTCCGGTTTAGTTACTATAGTATTAGTATAGTAAAGGCATGAAATGGAGGTCTATGGACGGTCGATTCCCAAGAGTTAATCTACTTTGCTCGCGAACCTAACTTTGTACTGTCGCAAAAGTATTCCGGTTTTCCCGGTCACCGGAACTCCCAGAAGCAGAAAGAGAGAGAGAGAGAGAGAGAGAGGGAGAGAGAGAGAAGCACACTAGCAAATCCGCGTTAGACGTTCAAAGAGAAAATTATTAACTTCGGTTACGTTTCATCGGGATAGTATGTGTTAGTGTATTCCACATATATACACATTCATACATACATATATATATTTTCTATATACACACACATATAGATATATAAATGTGTATAGAAAGGTTTTCAGTAGAAAGGGTGAAGAAGGAACGACGTTACGTTTCGATGCAGAAAGCTAATTTAAAGAAGGGGGTTGGGGTGGTGGTAAACTTCGCGCTTATATAAAGCAATGTTTAATAATAAAAATACTTAACATTCTTCTAGTCCAATTATAACTTAATTAATTAAACCTCTTTAGTCCAAGATATATATATATATATATGTATACTTATGATTCGAAAGGAAAAGTTGAATGTTTTTAGTCGCAAAACATTTATCTATCTTTATCTAAATATGTATATATATATATAGATATATCACAAATCTTTTGACATTTAGCATGAATTTCCATCTATGGTTGAAATTTAACTCTAATGTTTAGCCTAGATATTACTAACACATACTAAGTTTGTCAGAATTTCAACCATCCATGATTCGATGTTGATATAATGATATAATGACCGACGTAATTAGCAATAAAAACTCTCTCCAATTGGTTAATGAAACATTTAATTATATATGTGTATGTATGTATGTATATGTGTTTATTTCATATCATTAACATGACAAATATAGGAGAGATAATTTTGTTCTTCTCCATTACGACACAACTACGTTAAACTAACTCATCTAACTAATACAAAAGAAATAAGATTAATGTTATAATGAGATAATTGATCCAATAGGGATTTAATTTATTAAAATTAGTGTTTTACTAAGTGTGTCTAGTTACTGTGGCTTATGTGAACCAAAATATGACGATAAAAGTTAGATTATGTTCAAATGTTTCGCACATTCACCGAAATCTATGACCAACAACAGATGACACTGGACTTACATGTATCTTTTCTTTTTTTTTTTTTTTTTATAATTAATTAATCTAATAAAAACCTAGCTGTATAAAGAAATTATTGTCAAATTTAAAATGAAGATAAAAAGAAAGAAAAAAATGTATCAACGTTGATAGTTCATGGACAGTATGGTTCTTTCAGTTAAATAGATAAATAGAACTACTGTGGATTGTTTCGAACCTAGGAAACCTAGGAAACCAAGGATTGTAACAGTATTAGTAATAACATTTATGATAGCGATTGTGGTAGTAGTATTGTTGGTAATAATAATAGTAATAGTAACAATAATAGTATTGGTGAGTAATGGGGTGTGATGGGGTAGGAGGAGTAGTAGTGATCTTCATAGAACTGATAGGGGGTGGTTCATAGCAATGGTGGTTGGTATTAGTAATGGTCGTGGTTGTGTTATGTTCATAGTAATGGTGTGTTAGTAAGAATGATGGTTTTGTGGTGGTGATAATAATAGAAATAATAGTAATAGTTAGTGAAATGTAACATTTGTAATCAAATTTCTTTCTCTATTTTCTACCCTCACTCGTACATTCGCACACAATGATTATACATACACATACATATAAAGAATAATAAGAAAAATATAAAAACTCAAATAAAAAGAAAAAAATGTCGAATCTCGTAGTGGAAAATAGGAGAATGGAAAAAGTAAAAGAATAAAAAATAAAAAATAAAAATGAAAGGAATAAAGGGAGGAAGAGGATAGTCAGACAAAATTCAAAAATATTCCCTTTTATTACTTAAAACTCGATTGAATGCTAAGTTAGCTTCTACTACTCCTCTTTCTCGTCATGGTGGAGTACGCAAGATAAATTGGATTAACTTAACGACCAACGACGACAACGATAACGACGACATGGTGGTTGTGGTAGTGGTGGTGGTAGTAGTGGTACCCCTCTTCTGTCTCGTTCTTTCTTTTTCATCCTTTCTTCCATTCCCATCACTTGCAAAAGTAGACTGTGATTTCAATTTAATCCTTCGTTTAACGTTCTCGTTCGTTTGACTTCATTCTTCGGTATAACACAATACAATCATGTATATACATATATATATTTATTGTAAATGATTCTACTCAAAGAACTTTTGCTATAATGAAAATTCACATTAGTAGAAAATGTGAATTTTTCCTAATAAATTTATAGTGCGTTAATATTTTTTTGTAAACATAATTATATATATATATATATGGTATGACAAGAACATACATTCGATTAGAATTACCTGGACACGCTAATTATGTGCGAAATTCATTAACCCGGGTAAATAGCAGAAGCCAAGTATGTACATTATATGTAACCCATGCGTGTGTAAATGTATATATATGTGATATTCTATATGTGTGGGTATGGGAATGTGAATATGTATTATCGGGACCTATGCACGTGCGATTAAGTATATGCGTACATACTAGGCTGCCTTGTAACAATGAACACATTGCTAGGAATCATGTATGCATGGGATAAACAAATAATCCCTTGTAGACACATTCTCTCTCTCTCACTCTTACTCTAAAACCAACCCCCTTTATCTTCCACCCACGTTCATAGGGTATTTAATGTCGTATGTAAATCGTTATCGTTACAATCATTTTTTTTTTATTTCTAATTTATACATTTTATTATTCTAATATATAATATTATTTAATATTATATTTATTTATCTCATATATATTTTTATATTACCAACAAAGCATTAAATGCATACAAATATTATCACATTATTTAGAACTTAAAAATAAATTTAACAATTTAAATGTTCTTTAAATAATTTGATCAAATTATTCGCAAATAAATGCAAGTTGGATAATTTCGACGTCATCTGTCGGACACGATCACAGTAGCAACGCATATTATGAATCAGGATAACGTGTGGATTGGATCAACGGCCTTGATCATCGTACCCAACGTGTACGGCATCAGCAACAACGTTATATTCCGTATTCAAAGCCCATAGTGCTATGCTGCTAGCCAACCAACCCAACCAACCATTGGCTATAGTTGTTGGTGGTTACTGCTGTTGGTGATGGTGGTCATCGTCGTTCTCCTCGTTCTCGTCCTCGTCCTGTTCCAACACCACCATCACTTCTCTTATTCTCTTCTTTCTCTTTCTATTCTCATACACACATACACACACACATATGCATACATGTGCATCATGCAACACGTATTTACACATAGTTCTCTTTCACTCCGTCAAGCCTATTATAATTCTGTACGGATTTTGCTTGGTATCATCTCATCTTCTCTTCTTCATCCTCCTCCTCCTCCTAAACCTCCACTCTCCTCCCTTCTGCACCACCTTCTTCTTCATCACTTCCTCCTCCTTCTCTTCCTCTTCTCTCATTCGAGCAATAACCGAACCAACGATGCGAAAGATTTTAATGATCAACGAATAAAATATCTGACGATAGTTTGGACACTTGCAGATATTTATGAAATAATACAAAAAATACAAAATATTATGTAAAGCAGAAGTACATAGGACCAGAATTGGTTAATGGTTGAACATTTAAAAATATTCTCTTTTTTTGTTTTGTTTAATATTTGCTCAATTTTTATTTATATTATATATGGTTTTATTTATTTAGTTGTATTTAGRTTTGCAAGATTAAGGGAACATTTTGTTATTATATTATTAATATTGTTGGGATAATTTATTATGGAAATTTTATAAGATTGCGAATATTTTGTTTTAATATTTGCTCAATTTGTATTTATATAAAAATGTAATTTTTTGTATTTAATGTTTTTATTACTACATTTTGTATTTTATTTATAACTGTAATTATGTACTTTATTATTGTATTACAGATTTATTATATAGCAAATGCAAATTTAGGTTTTCAAATACTTGGAATATTTCTTTATTATAATATCCATTATTAATATTATTAATATATTTAATTATTATTATAAATATTGTTATAGAATATTATTTATTATTGAAACTTCATAAGACTGAAAATATTCTGTCTTAATATTTGTTCAATTATTTATTTCTATTTTTTTATTTATTCATTTATGTATTTAAGTTTACAAGTACTTAGAGAGGAACATTTCGTTATTGTAATATTCATTATAAATATTATTAATAATATATATGCAACATTATATGACAAAAATTTAATTTGATTTGTTTTTTCTCACTTTATGAATTGCAGTCACTTGATGGGCAGAACATTTATAATTCCTGCTGCACGCTACGAATCGACTACAGTAAAATGCAAAATCTAAATGTTAAATACAACAACGACAAGTCAAGAGACTACACTAATCCAAATTTACCAACCGGCGATGCAAACATTGACGCTGCATCCTTGGCCTTGGGTGGTGAACTTTTACCACAAATACTAATGGGTGCTGGATCTCAACCACGTGCTAGAATACCCGGTGAGTCTTTAAATACACACACACACACAACCACACTAGCATTTATCTAAACACTTATAGAAGAATATTTTATTTTTTGTGTTTGATTTTTTTTATTCAATTTTTCAATCTTTAGTTTTACGAATTTCTTCAGGCTCAATCCTCTTTCCCTTTTGATCCAACGAAAATAAATAAATAAATAAATAAAATAAAAGAAAACTTTAGTCGATGGCGTGTATCGAATATTATATCCAATTTTTATAAAACGCGAACTTATTCTCCCATTCTTCACCTACCTGCCCATTCCTCGTCCTTCCCCCAACCAACAACACCCACCCTTGAGCCACCTATTGTCATTAACGAAACACGAAATCCGCTTGAAATTTGAGCCGAACGAACCGCGATATCAAATCTCGTTATCGGTGTTTGTTATTTTTTTTCTATTTTTTCGTTTTTTTTTTTTTTTTTATAGAAGAGAACCTACAAGAAAATCAGAGCGTATTTCTACCGATGCTAGGTGAGGAGACTCGAAACAAATTTCGTTATATTTGGAAAGAGAATACTTTCATTTTTATAATAAAAATAAAAAATAAAAAAATAAAAAATAAGAAAAAACAATAAAAATGAGATCCAAGAAAAATCAAATTTTTATTCAATATTATTTCAATTTTTATTTCTTATTTATTCGTCAGGGAACGTATTAAAATTAAAAAAAAAAAAAAAAAAACTATAACGTAGGTTTTATTTTCAAACGAAATTGATTTTCATTATGGTGAAAATAAATTCTTTCATAATTAATTCTATGGTTAATCCTTATATTTGTGTATATACATATATTTCTATAAAAGAGAAAGAAACCAAGTGGTTGTATTATTAATTTAATTTATATTATAAATTTATTTTAATATTATATAAATATTAATTATTAAATAAAAGTCAAAATGTGTGTTTGTAAAGAAAAAAAAAATTATAATAAATATTAATATCATTATTAAATATTATATTTATATATATATATATATATATATATATATAATTGCATAATTATTATAATTGATACAATATTTTATTTTTTTTGAATAACTACACAAATACTGTTTTTTAAGCAAAACAACAATAATAATAATATTAATGGTGATGATATATTTTCAATTATTTTCTAAACAATATATTAGCAAAAAAGAAAAGAAAAGAAAAGAAAAGTAAAGAAAAAATAGGGCTAGATGATAATAAAAAAAAAATATTTTTGAAATGTTTGGAAGTAGAGTCGATTGCAGGAGCACCTGGTGTATTACCGACACCCTTTGCAGCTATGCACGGCCTACCATCACCCTTGGCAGGTCCTTACAATGGTGTACCACCAGCTGGAGGCCTAGGTGGTCTTGGAGGTTTTCCATTAGGAGCTGGTGCCCTTGGTGTGCGTGTACCAGGGGGTGGACAATCATCTGCCGTTTTACTCGTTAGCAACCTCAACGAGGAGGTAAGTTTTATAGGATACCTTAGAAAATTTTCCAATTTTCAAAGGTGGACGTGTCAATAATATAAAATATTAACCAACATTTAATTACGAGCAATAACTTTTTTTACTATTTTTTTTTTTTTTGTATGTTTTTCACAGTTTTGTTTAATTAATTTGTTCGCGATGATATTTCAATCGAAATAATAATGAAAAATAATTTAAGTGTTGTAAGTTGATAACTGGTAAATATTCGTATGGTTATTTTTATTAAAATATCGTTATTAATAATTATAATTAAAAGAAGAAAAAGAAGAAAATAACAAATTGTTAGGGTATCGTCGGTGAACAATATTTTTTTTCTATTTAATTTTTTTTCATTTTATCATATTTTTATTAATACCTTACGGTGTTGTGTTACTTAATAAATTCTAGATAGAAACAAATTTGTATAAATAATATTAATAATTCTAATAATAAATTTAGAATATTTATTTTTTTTTTCTATTTAATTTTTATTTCATTAATTTTTTATTAATACCTTAAGATGTTCTTTGATTAATTTGTGAAACAAATTTGTATAAAAACTATAAATAATTCAAATAATAAATAAGAATATTTATTTTTCTATTTTTTTTGTTTTGTTTTGTTTTTGGTTTTAATTCTCAACTAACCAAAGTGCAACAAATTAATTCATTGAAATGACGTTAGAAACAATTTGAAAGATATATACATACCAACTTGTATACATATATATCAGTGTATTGAAGATACACTTGAGAAGTGTCTGACTAGTATAATATACACGGGTGATACACGTTCCTCTTTTTAAGTAGGTTAAAACTCAATTCGAACACTGAGAGAAGTAGAGTGAAACCGAGAAGAGTATCTATCGATTAACGTACTACTTGTATGCAACTAATATGTGAAAGGATGCATTTTATCCTCTTATACATATATGTATATGTATACCTGTCTCTTTGCTGTTCCCTTCGAACATAATCGTATTTTCTCTCTTTCTCTCTATCACTCTATCTCTTTTTCTCTCTCTCTCTCTCTCTTTCATTTTCTACGTTAACCACAAGATGCATCTTCTATCTTACATTATTCTTCTTTTATCAACTACTACTACATTTATATGACAAAACCAAATGAACTCTAATTCTCTCAGTGTTCGTTTTACTTCAAACTTTTGCTTTTATTTTGTTTTTTGTTTTTAATGCGTATATATAACATATATATATATACATACTTATTTACATACATATTGTGCGTATTACTTGTATAATATTTATTTGTATGTATATACGTATGTATATGTATATTATTAAAAAAAAAAAAATTGTAAAAATAAACGTAGTGCTATTATATGTAGGCAAAAATCCCTTGCAATAATTTTCTCTCGATATTTTATTTTCCCCTCGATCGATTCGTTATTTTCTTCAACTAATTTATTATTTTATATGTATGTGTGTGTGTGTGTATTCTACTTGTTTTTTTTTTTTTATGATTGAAAATAATTAATTATATATTGTCAATGTTAAAACAAAAGTTGATGGAAAAATCGAATCGAATTTTATGCGTATGTTATCTCTCTTTTTATGCCAGCAACCAAATACCTGAGAAACTACCCCTCACCCTCTTCACCCCCTTGTTATACACATCACCATTATTACAACCATCACTACCCTTTAAAAAAAACCTCTTTATCTATAACCTTTCTTGCACCTTCAAACCACCACCACCTTCTCTTTTACCTTCACGTAACAACCCTTTACCTGTTTTCATTTTTAAGAAAATAAAAACAACAACCATACGTTTATCATACTACTCGCTCCCTTTTTTTCTCTATGCCTTTCACCAAAAACCTTTTTTTATTTTTTATTTAAACCCTTATTAATTCGTTTAATAACGTCGTCGACACACGACACATGGTTTTACTTCTAAACATTTTTTTGGGTTACACCCTTTTATTGGAAATTTTTTGTAAAAAAATATAAAGTATATATAAAAATATTTATTTATATAATTAAATTAATAAAATAATAATAATAAATATAATAAATAAAATTTTAAATATATATAATATAATATTGTATATAATATTACAATAAATATAATATTAAAATAATATACTATAATAATATATAAAAATATAAAAATTATAATAAATATAATTTATATATATATAATTATAATATAATATTTTATAACAAATATAATTTGTACATATATATAATATATGATAATAAATATAATTTGTATTTATAATATTATAATATAATTAATATATTTTTATATATATAATGTGTAT